CTAAATATTTCGTTAGGATTTCGGGAACTTTGGTTTGCAGGGTATGTACATATCGTAATCTGGGTGAAAGATTGTCGTAAGCGTCATTTTGATTATTTTTAGTTAAAGATGCAGTTTTACTTTTTTAAATAAGATTTTTCGATTGGTGTTACCAGTGTTTGGATATCTCCTTTAGGTTCCGAGATATTGAGTAACATTTTGTCGTATTTGCACGTTCGCAAACGACTCGGTCAACATTTTGTTGTATGTTGTTCACATACGATAAAATTTTCATACAGTTTGAGGAAATTGATGGCTTGTTAAAATATTGTCTTATGTGACAAATTGTATGGTACATACCACCATGACATAAGACAAAATCACACGCGTACGAGCAAAAAATAATTTCAACAATTTCCGCCTTTTGCTTAGTAGCTGTGTGTGTGATTTGTAGTATGTCATACAGCTGGCAAACGTTTAACGTGAAAATGTAACATACGACTAAATGATTTTAAAAAAAAGTGGCTGTAAAAGCTATACGAGTTGCTGAAAATTTAATAAAATGTGGTTTTGTATCTTAGCTAGTATGTACAATCAAGCATTAACCTTTGGTAAAAACCGATTGTACAGCTTTTGAGAAATTGTGATTGAATCTTTAACATCGATTTCCCAAAACCTGCCGAAAGTAACATACGACAGTCTTTTACCCAGGCGACGATATGTAAGTATGTATAGATACATCCACGAAACACCTCAAGAATTCTATTCTCTTTAAATTGCTACGCTGACGTGGATGGCGCTGCCTCAGCAGCAACTTGCGCCTTCGCTTGATGATGTTTCGTCACCGCTTCCTGTGCTTTACTGAGTTTTATTTGGCCTTCAAAGGCACGCGAACGCAACTCATTTTCTACAGATTTGTTGACAGTCTTTGAGATGGCGTTTTTAATCTTTTGTTGTTCATTGAATTTCGTTTTCTTTGCCTGAATGGGAGCATCTGCAAACAAAAACGACAAGAAATTAAAAGAACACAAAGAATACCGCATGCGACGTAGATGATATTGCAAGCATTCTTTTCACCATATCAACCAATACTCACTAGATCTTCTTGTAAATGCTTTGGCATTTTTCTGTTTTTGCTTTTGTTGCACACTGGCTGGCAATTTCGCCTTTTTAAATTTTCCTTGGACCATTCTTATGTTTACAAAATTGTTCACCTTTTTGTTTATTTATTAAAAAATTTTGATTGCCAAAGGCACGTGCGGATATGTCAAAATCAGCTGTTTCACAAAAGTTGGCAGCACTGATCAGTGCTACCAAACTTCAGTTGTTTTATTTATATTACATTGAAGTATACTTTTGGGCGCAACTAGCGGAATTTAAAAAATATACGGAAAACAAGCCATGAGTACATTCGACTTGTCCATTTTTTAGGCACTTCCTTCCTGATGCACTTACAGCCCTGATGCAATCTTCAGTGTCCTGTTATCGTCGACCTAGACTGAAGTAATTTCATCTCTGTAGCACCGGATGTTTCCCTTGTTTATCTTAAACACGCCTCACGTGACCGGCCCTAAATATTTTATCAAGCAGGCCGATTCTGAAAAGAAACTCCCTGGGAGTTTCCTCTCTGTTTCCTTTCCTCTTATTATAAATAAAAATTATCCGAGGATTTTCAGTAGTATTCAGAATTGGGTTGAACATGTTTTCAAACTATTCAATCTTATAAACCGAAATAACCTCAACACTTATAAAGTCAGCAGTAAATGTTTTTAGCGATAAAGTATGTATTTTATTTATTGGTTAAACATGTATGTATGTACGTATATAATTTATTTGTAGCATTTGATTTTCGTATTCAGTTTTTAATTATTAATACGGGCCTTATTGATTTATTAACTCACTACTAAACACACATTTATAACAATAAAAAAGATTAAGGTCCAAACACTTCTTGTAGAAGCACATAATCGTACATGTTTGTATGCGTGTTATCATTATAATGACAACATTTTTAAAACATACCATTTTGTTTTAAACACATCAACACATACACATACATATACATATAACAAATTAACTAGTTATCTTGGCTACAATAATGCCTGTCACAATTAATCCTATTATCACAGCAATCGCCAAAAGTATAAGAATTCTGCGACGATAACTTCGACGATACTGCGCGGCTTTAGCCAGCTCATCACGTCCCAATTCCACATCAGTTGCAGCGGTTTCAACGCTACTTTCTATGTTTTCTGTAAAAAAAAATGTATTATTTAATATTCAAAAAATAAATTGAAAGGTAGTTTAAATAAGTGGCCTTTTATTGCATTAAACACATACCCACTTGTTCCCCCTGCGTTTGCACGATATCATATACGCGTCGCATAATCGCGTTCACGTCCAGCACATCAGCTTCAATCTGACGCAGCTGACGTTCCCTATCAACCATCATATCCTGTTCGAATTGCAAGCCTGCCGTCATTTGAGCCTGCTGTTGCAAAAATTCCGCACGCTCTGCCTCTGCCTGTTCATCTTGTTGTTGCCCCTGCTGTTCAATACTTTGCCGCAACGCCGCAGTGATCCGTTTCTGTAGGGATGAATATTTCTCCACTACATTGCGGAAATCATTTGTCAACTTTTCAAGCTGTAGCTTTTGTTGTTTGTCACCTCGTCGAACCACAGACGTTAGACGCTGTAAATCCCGACTGAGCGTCTCAATGCGCGTATTCGCCTCACCGTGTATGTTATGTACCTTGTTGCGTGTCGCCTGTTGCTCCCGGCGTGTGCCAATAACTTTAAGTATTTTCTCCAATTGTCTGGAGCTAGAATTTACTGCGCTAATGTTTTGACCAATATCCTCACTTAACGACATGAACTCAGTGGGACTGAATCCAGAAAAGTTGACATCCGGCAATATAGCGTTTGTACTGTTCGAGGTAGCACCATAATCACGATGACCACCGGGTGGATTGTTTAAGTTGCGTGACATCACTGCGTTTGTGAAGCACTATGCGCACAATGACTGCGTTGTTAGAATGCAATGTGAGCGATGCGTGCAGCTACAAAATCAATGCAAGGAATATTTGTACATATAAAACATTAAAAGAGAGGAATGGAAGCACACATAGTATAAACATAAATATTATTCACAGAAGTATGTAAGTATGCAAATGCACGGAAATGCCATCATTGCTCTGCAATTTAGAGCAACTGACGATGCATACAGCGGCCGCAACTAAACAAATGATTCATTCAATACTTAACGCAACTGATATCAAATTCTAAGCTTGCCGCAAGGCGTGTTAATAACACACCGTATTTGAAGCATATGTGCAGCTTCAAAGAATAATACAAGATACATATTTTATGGTCGCTGAACTCAAGCTAATGGAAAGGAGTTCATTATCAAGATAACTAAACGGTTGTACGGCTTCTGGGGTTCATATGCATACATATGTATGAACACATCTGTGTTCGTATGGAATAGCTTATGTCCAAAGGTTGGCTTTAGTATAAATCGGCATTCGCAGGATACGATTGCGAATGACTCACTGGGGCTGAGCAGTTGAAGAAGTTTTGGCCAATAAACGTGCAATAAATAGTTCCGATACTAGCAAGTCAATATTCTTATTAAGTCTCATCAAAAAAATTCCTTGTCGTTCAAAGCATAAAGAGAATGCCGCATTATACTAAAGCCGGCTTCCCGACATAAGCTACTATTCCATACGAACACAGATATGTAAAAAGTTATCACGTCTTTAAAGAAATATTTTCATATCAGCAGCAGTACTACCGAAATTTCAAGTCTTTTTAATTCGTACTAAATAAACAGACCATGAAATTCATTGAACTGTATTCAAATACTTCCAATGAAAATCACAAAATATGCTATACTCATATCCGATGTATCGCATGCCTAAAGCATTAAGTTTATTCCACCCAACTCCCCTTGGCTTACTTCCGCAATTGATGAAGTAGCAACCACTTTTCACACTTGATTCGTCACTGCGTAAATATGAAAAACAAAGCGTTATACTTTTTAATTTGCCATTATACTTACAACTTGCGGAGTTATCGAGATAAGCACAATATTGATGAGTTTACAAATGAAACCAAGTTATTTTTTTAGAAATCTTGGTGCCTTGCAGATGATTGTACGATAGCTATGAAAATAAATCCACTTGCACAGAATTAAATGACATATGCAGAAATGATGCTGCCAGACCATGATTCAATAATACATTGGAGATTGAACTTGGCATCACTTGTTATTACCCAGTCGGAAAAATTTTGATTTGTATAGAGATCGGTATGGCAAGAATNGATGTTCTGGTTGTAACAAGTGTTTGTTCGGGTGCTCGCGCTCATAGCAGCCTACCAGGTACTATTAGCTCAGATTTCGATAATACTCTTACTTCCAGGTATTTTTTAAGCGAACGAGAAAAGTTAATAAAAATAGTATGCTTTGCTTTTATGGCCTCTTTCTATTTGTAA